TCTCGCGCGGCGCCAGCTGGTGCTGCTCAACCCGTACGCCGCGCTGTGCAACCGCATGCTGGCCGACATGGTGGGGCAACTGCGCGGCCCCCACAATGGGCGCTGAGCGCACAGGAGGGGGCCTGAACCAATAAAGCTGCCTAGCTGACCGACTGCGCCTCCTTCGTCCTGTTGCGCGCCCACTCGCGGGAGCCGCCGGGTGTCGCGCGGCGCCAGCTGGTGCTGCTCAACCCGTACGCCGCGCTGTGCAACCGCATGCTGGCCGACATGGTGGGGCAACTGCGCGGCCCCCACAATGGGCGCTGAGCGCACAGGAGGGGGCCTGAACCAATAAAGCTGCCTAGCTGACCGACTGCGCCTCCTTCGTCCTGTTGCGCGCCCACTCGCGGGAGCCGCCGGGTGGGGAGGGAACGGTCACGCACCTGACCTGGTCGGGCATCGATTGGCCCTGCCTGGCGCAGCCCCCGCTCTGGCCGCGGACTGCGGTGCTCATCAGACCTGAGCAGTTGCTTGGTTGCGCTAGCGGAGGGACACTGGTGAGCCGCACGGGAAAGGGAGGCGGCGGCGGCATGCTTGGGTGACCCCTGCTTGCACGATGCCCTCCTCCTCGGCCCAAGTCCACCTGAGCAGCCGGGATTGGAGAAGAGGGCGTAGGGCGAGAGGTGGGAGGGAGAACAGGGTAGGAGAAGGGCAGTTAGTTTGGGGGAGGGGAATGTGCAGACACCTTGGGGCGGGGGCGGGCGGCTGCTCAGTTGCCCCTGGCTTCTGTATATCTTTGCATGTGACGTTTGGTCTCTGCAGTCAGGGCTGGGTTCTGTGCCCGCAGGTGCCTAGGTATAGGCTGGGTGGTTCAGTGCCTTTGGGCTTTGCTCTTCGGGTCCGTGCCACAGCCCCTGCGGACCAGTCTACAGTCGCGATTCCGTGTATGGTTCTGTTTTTCGAGTAAATTCCTGAAGGAGTTACTAGGCCTGCCTGCTCTCACCTGGCTGACACCGAGGCCACTCCATTCTCTCAGCAGCCCAGCCCGAGACCTGGCCACTATGGAGCTGCCAGCCACCCTCCCACACACACTACTATTCCTGCCAGCCCTGCTGAGCTCAGGTACACTCTTGTAGGTTCCTTCTGGGAGCCAGAGCCCTATTCTTCCCCTCCTTGCCTGCACTTTCCATCTGGTGGTCTCTCTAGGTGGGACAGACCCCAGGCTCCAAAGCCAGGTTCCCTTCTTCTACTTAACCTACCTTAGGTCCAGCCAGTCCCTGGTGAGAGAACCCAGCTGCCCTGCCTCTTGACCTGCTGTCCCTTTGTTACTGGAGCTCATCCTAGTCACAGAACAGTACCAACCTCCCCATCCCCTCCTAGAAGTTGCCTGTGTTCTAGGTTGGGGGGAGTTGGCACCGAAAATTGATGGTCACACCTGGGCTGAGAGGGCACTTCGGGAGAATGAGCGTCATGCCTTCACCTGTCGGGTGGCAGGGGGCCCTGGCACCCCCCACTTGGCCTGGTACCTGGACGGAAAGCTACAGGAGGCCGGCACCTCAAGACTGCTGAGAGTGGGTGGGGAGGCCTTCTCTGGAGGCACCAGCACCTTTACCGTCACTGCCCAGCGGGCCCAGCATGAGCTTAACTGCTCCCTGCAGGACCCTGGCAGTGGCCAGTCAGCCAACGCCTCTGTCATCCTTAATGTGCAATGTGAGTAACCCTGAAGTGGGCAAAGGTAGAGGTTCCTGGACCCTTAGCAGCCATGCAGCAGGTGTTCAGTGTGACATTTAGCAAACACTTAAGCTCTTTGCAAACATTAATTCACTTTATCATCACAGTAATTCTGCAAAGGGATTGTTATTTGTATTTCCATTTTACAAATGAGAAAACTGAGGCCCAAAGAGGTTAAGCAGTATGCCCAAAGTTATATAGTTGGTAAAAAGCAGAGCCAGGTTCAGATCCAGACATTTTAATATTTTGGAAGAGGAATTTTGTTGGGCTGCATTTAAATATACATATATATATATAT